GTAAATAAATGTGATTATTATTATTTTGTCAAAAAGTGTTATATTGTCATTATTTGTTTTCATGTCAAACGTTTAACTTTACAATTTTACTCTAGAATTTAATAGTTTGTCAGGTCTAGATCTAATTTTGATTATATTTTTAAAAAATGTAGAAAATATTTTAAGTAATAGCATCTTTTTGTGGAAGTGAATAAATATCCTAACTATTATTAGTTGATATATAAAATATTGTGATCACAAGAACACAATAAGAACAAAATAACACTTCTCCCTTTTATTGCTTTGGTTTTCTATTTTTTTTTAATAAGAGATTTCGAACCATACGTTCCTACATAGTTGGAAACACAAGAATAATAGAAAAAAATTAAGGACACATCTTTACTTTTTCGAATCGTGATTAAAAATCTAAAATCTAATAATTAATTGAATACATTATTATGCATAAATCTTAGGATTAGGGATTTTTGGGAGTTGTTAAAATGTTTTGGACTATACAAAAAAATTATACAAATATATATATATATATATATATGTAATTAAATATTATTTTATAATGTTTTCATAATGCTTAAAATTACAACCATGTTTTCGCAAGCTCTCACATCTGTATCTACTAGGTTTTAAAAAATCAAAGTCAAGTTCTAAATTTATTAATAAAAATATTACAAATTACTAATTGTGTTTTACACTAATTATAAAACATATAATAGAATAGTAAAAATTTTCCATTTTTATATTGTAGTAAACTTATAGAATACAGAAATTATACAATATTATAAACATATATCTTTCGACGTTTATATTATAAACATATTATTAAATTTAATTATTATAAACCTTTTAAAGTAAAAACAGAAAAAATTGAATCGAACATAAAACTAAACAAGAGCAAAACGCACATAAGTGATATTTTTATGCGGTGAAAAAAAAGATAAAAAAATTTTCTCAAAATTAAATTCTAATCTTTCTCACAAAAACTGTCAAGACCACCTACAACTTCCTTTTTTGATGCTCATATGTAGCAACATTGTGCTAATACATCATGTATATATCATTTCTTTTTCATATTTTATCTAGAGATGAAGCTTGGAATTAGAAAGATACGATTGAAAACTTAGATATCTTCATAAGAAGAAGTAAAAAAGTCAGAGGAAAAAAAGTCGGACAGAAAAAGATCGGAGTAGAAAAAAAACCGTTAGGTGGTTGGTCCGCACATATGTTTGGGTCAACCATTTAATCACATAAGTCAAACTAAAATTGTTACAATTTGGAAAAATTTCTGCAAACGTAGACGGATTTTTTTTATTTAGATCAGTTTTAAATGGTACAAAGCAATATAAACGGTTTTTGTGATTTAAACGCCAAAAATACAACAACCGTCAATAAACATACATTTGTAGATAGTAACGAAAAAAAAAAATCAATAGTTACGTATTATAGTTAACTTATTTTTATCAAAAAAATATCATGGATATGCACATGTGTATGTACCAACTATACATAGTTGTCATATATGTTGCAATATATATATATCAAACTATAGTATATCAATATATGACAATTTAACTAAGATATTTCATGCCTACACATGCGTGCGGACCAGTATCCTAGTAAGAATTATGTTACAATTAACTAAAAATATTGATGAAGATTTATTTATTTTTATATAACTCTAGATTATTTAATAATATCAATATGTATTTAAATTGATTTTAAATATTTCTTTATAATCACATACTAACAAGTAATAAATGATGATTATATTAACTTTTTAAAAATATAAAACAATAAAAATATGAAATAGTTGACCATTCATAAATTTTAATATTAAATTTTAAACAATTCAAAAAATGGGAAAATATTTTTATTAATTGATTCTTATTAAACAAAAATTTATGTTATAATTAATTAAAAATATTGATGGATATTTCTTTTATTTTTATATAACTCTAAATTACTTACTAATATACAATATGTATTTCAAATTGATTTTTAAGATTGTTTATAATAACATACTAACAAATAATGATTTTATTTACTTTTACGAAAATAAAAATTTGATATAGTTGAAAATAAAAATCCGCACATATGTGCGGATATTCACCTAATATATATGAAAGTAGGTAAACTCTCTCCATAGCTTGCCACATCAGCAATTGAAAAGCTGACACCTGTCATTTCTTAGAAATATTAAATCATAAATTTTAAAATAAAGAAATCAATAACTAATTAATACCACTAGTTTTAATATAATTCTTCTTTTTAATATTTATTTTGTATATATTTATGTTCATAACTATTAAGTTACATTAAAATTAAGACTTTCAACATTCCTAATCAAGATAAATAAACAACATTTCTAACATTTTGGTATTCGTCTAAGACATTTTAATATTTTTTGTATGAAGCTTGTTCTATAAAAGAATGTAAAGATGTAGCGTTCTCTTTATTCAAAGAATTTGTAGTTTTTATGGGTCCTTGTTAAAGCTGTATTTCATCGTGAAACATTAAGTATGAGATGGTTCTTGCAAAATTATGGCAATTGTATATGTCATAAATATGAGAACATTAAAAATTGGAGGTAATTATATGTTTCCAAGCAATTCAACAAAAAAATATAGTTTTTATTTACATCTTTTTTCCTCATATCATGTTTATGATTTCTAGAATAGTAGAATAATTTTCTTTACTTATTGTCCTACTTCCATTCTTAAAAAAAAGTTATTTGTTTGATAAAGATTTGTTTTTAAAAAAAATTGATACCAAACAATTAAGCAAATTACCATGTTCTTATAATTAACTATGTATATATATCAACACAAACATATTTTTAAAACTATTATGTGAAACAAAACCTGCGCGTACAGGTACAAGCCTAGTCTAATATATAAAAGGAGAAGGGGATGTTCTCTCTGATTGGTTATCATTTTTTTTCTAAGTCAGTATTTATTAAAAAATAATAATAATTAAATCTAAAAAATCTATTAAACAACATAAATATATAGAAATTATTTAATTTATATTTAGTTATGTTAAATTAAAATTAAAACGTAAATATAAATTAATAAAATTCAAATTTATTAAAATATTGTGATTTTCTTCACATTTTTTGGTTTATGATTTAATCATTTTCAAACCAACAAAAATACATCAATCAATTAAAAAAAATGTTTTGAGCCCAAAACTAAAAACAATAATTAAATTTCTTCTCAAGCAACTGAGAGCATGTGCATTGAGGTTGCATACATATTTTTTGGTGGGTAGCTAATCAATAAAACTGGATAAAATAATGAAACTGAGGCCCGAAAAAAGAAGGGCCGGCCCTTCTCCAAGCTTTTTATGGGTCGACCCATGTGGGAAACCCTTAGCAACGTGGCGGTTTTCTATTGGAGAGGAAATTTTTTTTTGGAGAAACGCGTGGGGGTTCGTTGACCCGAGTCAGAAGTTCTCATTTCTGGAAAAAAGAAACGAGAGGTCTCTCCCAAGGCGATTTTGGAGGCGACCGGATGCGATTTCACCGACGGAGCAAATCGAAGACGATTTTGGCGGTTTTCCTGCGGCTTGGGTCATCGAATCGTGAAGGTACGTCTTTTTTGAGGGTTTGGTTGTATTTAGGGTTTCATTTGTTGTGTTTTTTCGAAATTAGGGTTTCGAATCAGAATAAAATTTGGGGCTTTTTGTGTTCAATGAACTGTGGCTAATCTATGTGAATAATACTCGTGAATAGAATAGTTTGAAAGCATTTACATGAATATATAGACTTTATTTTGTGTATTGAGGTTTAGATCGGTTCTTTGTAATCGGTGAAGTTTTTTTGAGTTGTAATTCTTTTGTTAGTGATGTTTATGATCGGTTGGTGATGTATATGATAGGTTTTGTTTAGTGTATGCATATATATCATGCTATTTTGATGATGAAGTTGAAGTATATGAATTGTTGTTTGTAATCGGTGAAGAAAATTTTGAGTTGTAATTCATTTGTTAGTGATGTTTATGATCGGTTTGTGCTGTATGTGGTAGTTTTTGCTTAGTGTATGCATATATATCATGTTATATTGATGATGAAGTTAAAGTTGATGATGAAAATGTTGGTCTGAAATTTTTTGCGAGGGTAAATTGAGAGAGAGAGCACTAGGGAATCTTGATGATCAACAAACTTCCTTCTAAACTCAGCCCAAGTTAAGTCTTCTTCAAACCAACAAACTTGTAGTTAGCATCTTATTTAGGGTTGATAGTTGCTTTTATTGGATATGATCGCTTAGTTAGAATTGATTGTAAATGGTGGTAGTTGTTTGTTAGGTGAAGAGTTATGGTTTGGTAATAGATGGTGCTTGTTTAAAAGAACCATTTAGTGCTTTAAAAGCTGTCTCAAAATCACATCAAACATAAAAAAACTTAACTACTAAAGATAACAACTACTAGCTAAACATTAAAGCTGGTTATTAAATCTACCAAACTCTCAAAAAACTTTCACAACTCTCTCTAACAAATAACTCGCTAAAACACTAACTCTTTCACAAACTTCTGAAACACTTGTTTTCTAAAATCACTCTTCTCTTCTAAACTCACAAACCCGAACTCTTCTTACTCTTTGACAATCACTCTTCTCTTCTAAACTCACAAACCCTAGCTCTTCTAAATCTTTCACAATCACTCTTCTCTTCTAAACTTCTTAAAACCGATCAACATGGATGCTATGAACCCAAACGATAGCTCACAGGGGTTTGTGAACCTTTTGACAAGCCAACAGGAACAAACACTCTGTTTTTCGCAGAGTGTAGACCTTGGTTCATCTCAAGTCCCAATTTTTCAACCCAACTCTTCTCTCACCCGAGTCCTGTAGCTGATGAACGAAAAGAGAGGAAGAAGTGGTCACCTGTAGAAGATGTTGTATTGATAAGTGCATGGCTCAACACCTCCAAAGACCCAATCATCAGCAATGAACAAAAAGCTGGGGCTTTTTGGAAAAGAATAACAGAAAGTTTCAACAACTCTAAGAAGATGGAGAATGAACAAGATAGAGAGGCTGGTCAGCTCAAGCGTATTAATGACCACGTTTGTAAGTTTGTGGCTTGTTATGAAACGGCTTTGAAGCAGCAAAGCAGTGGACAAAATGAGAACGATCTGATGAAGGCAGCTCATCACATCTTCTACAATGATCACATGTTCAAGTTCACCCTTGAACATGCTTGGCGAGAACTCAGACATGACCAAAAGTGGTGCTCTGTTTCTGCTGGTAAACAAGGTGGAAAGCCAAAAAGAAGGAAGGTTGATGCAACTACAACTCATTCTGAAAGCTCACAAACCCAAAGCGTTGATGTAGAAGAAGGCTTCGAAGGAAGCAATCAAGAGAAAAGGCCACAAGGAGTTAAGGCAGCGAAGGCTGCAAAGAAGAAGGGAGTTCACACAGGCCACAAAGAAGGAGAAGATGATATGAAGAAGCTACAAACCATGTGGGATCTCAAGGATAGAGACCTGGCCATGAAGGATAAGATCACTAACAAAAAACTGCTTAACACTCTTCTCCTTAAAAACGATATTAACGTACTTGAACGTTCACCTGTATTTGATGACATATTACAAGGTCGAGCTCCTAAATTTCAATACTGGGTTAACGGACACAAGTATAAGATGGGATACTACCTCACCGACGGTATTTATCCCAAATGGGCAGCTTTTATACCAACTATTCCACTGCCTCAAGATGATAAAGCATCATTATTTGCCACTACCCAAGAATCTGCCCGAAAAGATGTCGAGCGTGCTTTTGGAGTTATACAAGCTCGTTTTGCAATTGTAAGAAATCCAGCTCTTTTCTGGGATAAGGAAAAGATTGGCAATATTATGCGTGCATCTATCATATTGCATAATATGATAGTAGAAAATGAATGGGATGGGTACACTCAGTATAACATAGAAGAATTCCAACAAGGGGAGTCAAGCAGAACTTCACAAGTGGACAATGAGTACTCTACAGAGACATCGTCAAACATCGGAAACCTTATCGGGATACGAAATCAAATCCGTGATCCACAAATACATGAACGCTTGAAGAAAGATCTAGTTGAAAATATATGGAACAAATTTGGCAATTCTCAAGAGTAGAACTACAAGTTTTACAATTTAAATATCTGTATTTTGAATTTTAATAATTTCATGTACTGTTCTATAAGCTTGTTTAATATGTAATGAATGTTTAAATTAAAGATTAAGTTAATAATTTAAAAAAAAAAAATTAATTTTTTAATGCTAAGCAACTTTCTTACAATCCCTCTAATGCAGATAAAAGTTGCTTAATTATCCTTAAACCAAAAAAAATATTATATTAATGCTAAACAACTTTCTTACAATCCCTCTAATGCACATGCTCTGAGGAATAGTAAACAAGAACTATAAAACCACAAAACACCAAAATAAATGATAACTAATCGAAAAGATAAGAGAATATCAAAATTAGAAAGAAAAATGATCCAAAAAATATATTTTAGCAAAAATATGTACAAAATTTTAAAGATACTAACTCGAAAAAATAGATTGAATGAAATATATGTAATAACAAATTATGAAAATGATAAATTGAGAAAGTTTAATTGTTTTGTGAGGGTTTAAAGGAAAAAATTTAGAAAAATATATGAAAAGGTTACTAAGATTATAAAAAATTTAAAATAATAAAAAGCAAGTTATGAGGTTAAAAATAAAACCAATATATGTTTAATAAAAACAATAAAACTAAAGAAATTTCATTAAACAACAAAAACAGATATAAACTATGTAATTTATATTTAAATATGTTTAATTAAAAATATCAAAGCATAAATTTAGAATAAATAAAATTCAAATTTGTTAAATTTAGTGACTGTCGTTTTATTTTATTTTTCATGTGATTTAATTGTCATCTTTGAACTACAAAGATAACTAAATCAATAAAAATGAAGAAAAAACAATTTTTTAGACAAAAAATAATAACAAAAGTCAAAACGATGTTCAAGCAACTAAAGAACAAAACAAAAGAGCTATAAACTACAACACACAAAATAAAATTTAATAAAATCGAGAAGATAAGAGAATATCAAAATTAGAGAAAAACAATATAGCAACAAATAAATGTAATTGGAAAGATGGATTCAATAAAATATATGTAATAACAAAATAATTGTTATGTGAGAATTTAAATGAAGAATTTGAAAAAAATGGATAAAAAAATGACTAAGATCATAAAAATGTAAAATAGTAAAAATAAACAAGTTATGAGGCTAATACTAAAAAAATATGTTTAAAAAAAACGAGCAACTAAAAAATAACAAAGAACAATAAAATTTTAACACCAAAAAATCAGTAAAAAATCGAAAAAATATCAAGATATCAAAAATAGAGAAAAAAGAGAAGAGAATAAAAGAAAAGAATATATATGGCAACAATTTTGAAGATATCAGTTGGAAATATGGATTGAATGAAATATGTGTAATAAGAAAACATGAAAATGATAAATTGAGAAAGTTAAAATTGTTGTTAGTCAGGATTTTGATGAAAAACTCAAAAAATAGCATATAAAAGAGGTTATAAAAAGTTAAAAATAAAATACAATATGTATGTTGGGAAAGTTAAAAATTATCTTTAAATCAAAATTTAGATCAAAGAACTCGAAATTTGGATGAACAAAATAGAAAAAAATAATGAATAGAAGAGATTACTAGATTTATGAAAGGAACAAATAAATTATACAAAAATAAAAAAAGTTGATAATTTAACTAAAAATCTAAACCATAATAAAACAAGATCCTTGCGTAGCACATATTATCTCCTAGTTACTAATAAAAGTTAAAGCTAAATGTCTCTAAAAATGTCCAAATAAGATTAAAAAGGTCAATTCTGTTGGTCTACATCAACATTCAAAATTAAAAAAGTTTCCAAAATTATATTATTATTAATAAAACATATATAGACAATTAAAAAGTATGTATTAAATTTCTATTAACAACAAAAAGTTAAAATAATATTAAATTAAGAACATTTCTTAAACAAATACAAATTTACTTAGATATAAAATAATATGCAATCAATTAAAGAAGAAAAGTTAATTTTAAAATTGTTTTTCAGTTTTCTTATAAAACTGACATAAAAAGAATTAAATTGAAGATGATGAAAAATCCTATTTTTTTTTATTAGAGAAGAGATATATACTAATTTTTTGTGTCAATACTATTTGTATTAAATAGTAATTCATTATTTTATAATTAGTTTTAGTTATCTTTATAGTATACTAACCTACAAGCATTAGAAGAATTTAAAAATATTTATAAAAGTTGAAATTATAAATAATTAAAATAATATGTACTATACATAAAAAACAACACATATATTCATATATTAATATGTGGAGATAATTGGTGCTTTAAACATAATTTAAGAGTGATAATAAGTTTATGAAATCTATCAAAAAATAATTTAATAGTTTATTAAGAGGTAATTAAATGCTATCAAGTATAATTTGTACTCATTAAAATAGTAAAAGAAGGAGAAACTTTTTGCCTTTCTTGGTTGTCAATAAAAAATCATTTAAAAATTATCACACACAATATGTTACTCAATAAACGGTTTGTTATTTATCAATTTAAGATAAAATTGACTAAAATTTATCTTGAAGTCATCGATCTTTACGATTTAAAATTAGGTTTAAATTTTATATTATATTATTTACTGAAAATCTATGAAAAAATTATGTTTATTAGTTTATTTTTTAATTTAAAATAAATCAAAAATTTATATCGACTAAATAGCTAATGAAAGAGAATAATTTTTAATTTTATATTTTTTATAATATCCATAAATAATATGTTTTTTAAACGACACATATATAAATACAAACAAGATAGTTGAAACCTCAAAATTTATATATAAATTTTGATAAATTTTGAGATTAAAACTGAATTACTTTTGATAAATTTTCTTACAATAATTTAACATCTAAATAAATATAACTGCTTAAATATGATTTCAATCAATATGATAACATTAAAAAATTATCCACGCTACATAACATTAAAAAATTATCTACACATAGTGTGGATATAAATTCTAGTATATATTAATAAAAGTTGAAGCTAAATGCTTTTCAGAGTGTCGACTCGTCCTGGGCTTTCGGGTATTCGGACCAGTTCCGGGTAAAACCGATCAGTTGCGGGTATTTCGAGTATAGACGATCAGAAACCAAAGTGGTACTGAAATGATTTCAGTTCGGTTCTGGTTCGGTACTTTTCAGTTCCAGGTCGGTTCGGTATGGAAGTCTAAGAACCGTAAATACTCGTAAAATTTCGGTTCTCAAATGGTTCGGGTATCTAATATCCGAAATACATAAAGTGTACCCGAAATGAAAAAAAAAGTAACCGAAATGTTAACATGTATCCGAAATTACAAAAAAAAAACATGAACCACAAAGCATCAAATGATTCAATTCCATTACATCAGTTGCAGAAGGTGAAGGAAAAATAAAACATGATGCAAAAGCATCAAATACATAACACTATCTATGTTCGACAATCAAAGAGAAATGCATAAATAAAAACAAGTTTCAAGACATAAGTGTTCCAATTTCAAACTTCAAAGAGAAATAAAAAGGAGTAACAAAAGAGACGTAAGTGTTATATTTCGAGACTTGTGGCTTATGAGACGTGAAACTGCAACACAAAAAGAGACTCTACAACTTGAAACTGCACGAAGACGAAATGAACTCAATTTCATATTTAAGCAAACGAAAACCCTAATCCCCAAATCGATTTCATTTTTAAAAACACCCTAAAACCAATTTCGAATTTAAGAGACTCTACATACTTGATCTATCGACAGAAATTAATAGTAGAAACTAAAAAACAAAGAGGAAATGGAATCAATTTCATATTTAAACAAATGAAAACCCTAACCCCCAAATCAATTTTCCCCCATTATAGAGCCGGAGAGAAAGACTCGATTGTGTATATGTCTCTTTTTTCCTTCTAATTTTGTGTATGTATCGATCTGTGGATAATGGGCTAGATCGAAAAATGACATTGAACTAAATGGGCCAATATTAGATATATTAATGAGTAATGGCCCAAACTTATATACATTTTTCGGGTATCCAGTTCGGAATTTTGGTTTTCGGGTTATACCCGGATCTGAACCGATATCCATGGATCCTCTATTTAATGGGTATTTAGGCAAAAACCGAAAACCGAACCGAACTAGTAATTTTTGGTTGGTTTCGGTTTGGTATTTCGGTTCTGGTTTTTATGTCCAGGTGAGTGTCCACATATGATTTAACAGAGCAATTTTATTGGTCCACATCAACAATCAAAATCAAGAAAGTTTACAATTTCTATTATTATTGTTGAATAAAGAAATTAAAAAGTTTAAAAATTCTAATATTATTTCTGAATCAAGAAATTTTATTGGTACACCTCAACATTAAATATTAAATTTTTTCTAATTCTGTTATTATTTTTAAAAATAATTAAAGATAAATAAATTATATATAAATTTATATTAATAATAAAAACCTTAAATAAATAATATTAAAATAGGAAATTTTAAATTTAAATTAGATGTATACACACATATTTAAAGACTTCTACACTGGCATCCAAATTTTTGTTACATAATTATAATAGTTTTTTAAGTTTTTTTTTCTGTGTGTTCAACTATTTCAAAAAAAAAAAATTAGAGTTAAATTTCACTAAAGAATGAATCATTACAACGTAAAAGAACCAACTTAACTTAATTATATATGTTTGACTATTAGCTAAATTATAAAGAATATAATGAAAAGAGATATAAACAAAGCTACTAGCTACAAATGCTTTAATATTAAAAAAATCGTAAAATCTCCGAAGTTTGGCCACCAAAATTGAGAAGAATGATATATTATAACAATCCGAGAAACATGTCAAGTGATGGATACTCAACATTTTTGAAAAATGAAGAACTGAAAATAGAGAAAGATGTTCTCTCATTAAGACGAAGGAGACTGAGGTATCCGAGGAAGATTTTTGAAGTAACATGACATCTGATGGGGTTTTAACAACTCAACCTGAACAACAAATGTAACAATTAGCTGACCAAGCAGCATCCAA